TACGTCGACAACAAGGCAATGCTTGCCTTGTGTCGCGAGCAGAGACTGGAGCACCGAACAAAGCACATTTCTCTTCGCTACTTCCTTGCGCGTGATCTGCAGCAGCGCGGTCAGCTGCGCCTTGCTTTCGTGGCCTCTCGGGCCAACACTGCTGATGTTTTCACCAAGGCCCTTGGGTCTGGTGATCATCAGCGTTTCTGCACTGCTCTTGGGCTTGTGCCCACTCTGCCTCACCTGCTGGTTGCTTGACTTGCTCTTGTTGTACACTGATATATATCTTTATACCTGCTTGTTTACTCTTGCTAGGTTGTGATCAGTGTACTGCCTTGCTATTATAACTCTGCATGTGAACTGGCCTTGTGGCCGCTTGCTTGTGCTCAGATTGTGTGGTGTCCTTGAGATCCACCCTGAGCTTTTCTTTGCTTTGCTTGTTCTTTTGCTTGACTGGTCTTGTGACTGTCTGTTGTGTTTGCTATCTCCCACTTAGCCTGTGGGGGTGTGTCAAACTGTATGTTTGTGTTCTCTCTAGGCTATAGTGAGTTAGCCTACAAGGGGTACAACACTTTAGGGTTAGGTACTTGTACTCATGCATGCTACCTAGTCCACCATTACTGCCTGCTTATTCTAACACCCACAACCACAACCCCCCCTCCCCCCCGTTCCCCTATCAAAGTTGTATTTGTAACATTATTGTGTGACTGTGCTTAGTTTAGGTGACGCATCACCTAGTAAAAGTTCAATCTTGGCTGTCTAGGACTGATCTAGGGAGGGAATGAAAAAACCGTTGCATTGTAATTTACCTTGTTACCGTACCAGGTTTCGTCGAGGGTGGCGAGTCTACAATAAACATGATGTCACGAACTGTCCACATTTGACGATTGACATGTTTCTATCAACACACCCACATGGTGACATAGAAACATACAAATCCTGTCGAAAAAACGTGTGGCGAACATTGATCATGTCACCCTGGGCTTGGTCAGACTTGCACGTTTGTATATTTACAGGTTTGCACACCGCACGCCTGCCAATCGTTCGATGTGTTGATTTGGTGAAAACCAGCGATCGGGCCAGGATTGAACATAAGTGACACGTCCTTAGGGTTAGGCATATGTACCAAATTCCTGGTTAGTTTCATCATTCCGTTCTTCTCAACTTCTGGCATGGTATCATCGTAGGTAGATCCTAGCTCCTAGGCCGCCCAGCAGAAAGCTAGCCAACCAGAGCCAGCCAGCTAGTCTGCACCCCCTAGTCAGCCAGCCAGCCATCCAGCCAACGAGCCAGAGAGCTAGCGATTGAACCAGCCAGCTAGTACGCAAGTCGCCAGCCAGCCAGCACAGCGCGCGCTAGCCAGCCGCCCCTTAGAGCGTTGCACGCACACAGCACATGCACGAGAACCACGCGCAACACTCATGCCACGACCAGAGTGCATAGCACGCAAGCAGCCGCGCGCAGCCGCGCACACGGATGCGAGTGCCCACGCACACCAGCGCAAGAACACACCAGCGCGCACACACGCACGCCAACTTGTGCCCTCCCCACTAGCCAACAGCACCCCGCCTGCCGCCAGCGCGCACCGCCAGCGCTAGCCGCCAGCACAAACAGCCAGCAGCGCATGCCTTCAGTGCAGGCCGCCAGCACATAAGCGGACGATCGCCTCGGCGCCGAATTCGACGCCGAACCGGTGGTACACGAAGCTCGCGCACATCGGCGTCGACACCATTAAGAGTTCGGCGAAGCACGGAGTCTCCACCGGCCTGGACATCAAGCCGTCGGCCAGCACCGATCTACCGTGCGTCTCCTGCGTCGGTGGGAAGTTGGCGCGGCACACGTTCCCCGACAAGGGTTCGGACGCCGAGGAGGCCCTGGCCGGAGTGCATATTGACCTGTGCGGGCCGTTACGAGTGGCTACCAAAATGGCAGCCTCTACTTCCTGCTGCTGAAGGACTGCATGACCCGCTACGTATTGGAGCGGCCGGTCGCCAAGAAGAGCGACGTGTTGTGGGTGTTCGAGAAGTGGCTGACAGTCGTGGAATGGCAGAACAAGAAGTTGGTGCTAATGCTCCACTTTGATCGACAAAGGAATTCGCCGACTTTGTCAATGGAAAGGGGATCGTCTACGACCTGATGTGCCCGTACACTCTGCAATAGAACGGCATGGCAAATTGGGAGATGCGCACGATTGTCGAGGCCGTGCAGATGATGCTGCTCTGCATGGGTGCGCAGCATCACTGGTGGCACCTCGCCCTCCGACAGTCTATTTGGGTGCGCAACTGCCTTGAGCGGTCGACGTTGCTGCCGGGAACATCGCCGCACCAGCTGCGGACCGGTAAGAAGCCTGACCTCACGCTGGCACGGGTGTGGGGCTGCATGGTTCAATTTATGGTCCCCGGGCAGCAGCGTGGAGGGAAGCTGGCGACGAAGGCCCGGTGGGGGCTCCATCTTGGCGTGTCGCCGGAGGGCAATGACTGGGAAGTGCTCGACTTAACTTATAACAAGGTGGCCGTGACGGTCGAGGCCATCTTCTACGAGACCATGTCGCTGGAGCTTTGGAAGGAGAACGACGGGCCAGCGTTGGCGAGGACGCAGGCTACCCCGCCAACAGATTCCTTGTCGATGACACTTCTGTTGCTCGCTGAGGATGACAATCCTGATGACAAGGATGGTGCGGACGTCCCTCCCCCTCCTCCTGTTCCCATTGTATCCCCGTTGGCAACCTCGTCGCCCTCCCCATCACCACCTTTTTCCGATTTTCCTCGAATGGCATCCAATTCGGCCACTGGCGATGAGGGGGGAAATGGTGCGTCGTATGTGGCGCCGACTGGTTGCATCGCCAACGACGGACATGACGTCCTGAAGATTGGTGACGACGGGAAGCAGCCGACCTCCGGGAAGCCGACTTTGGGCGAAGTCGGCGTGACGGAGTCGACTTCAGGAGAGCCATTGGCCAAGAAGCCGACCTCAGGGGAGTCATCGGCACCCAAGCCGACGACAGGGGAGCAGTCTGACGACGACTCGTCGGGCGATGTTGCGAAAGTCATTGGTGTTGGTGAACCCAGCGACGATAAGTAGATCTGTCCGCAAGGGAGCAGCCCACTGACTGTGACGTGGTGGAATTTGAAGCTGATGACAGCGACGTGGTGGAAGTCGAAGCCGATTAGCTGTGACATTCCACTCGCTCCACCTTTGGCAAGCCTCGCGAGAAGCTAAGCTACTACGCTTGCTTGTCGGCGACCCCGTACAGCATGCTGCTCGACGATGCGCAGGCTAATGTCGACTTGCCAGAGCTCGACCCCGACGTGCATGCCGACCCGGAACACCTCTGGGACATCGCCAACATGATGGTGATGGAGGCATTGGCGAACTGGAAGGGCAAGGCGGTAAAGGCCGACATGGACGATGAGATCTGGAGCCTCATCGCGAACGACACATGGGAGCTTGTTGAGCGTCCGCAAGGTGTCAACATGATGAAAAATTGGTGGGACCTGATGACCAAGTACCACGTCGACGAGACGATTGCCCGCGAGAAGGCGCGCTTGGTTGTGAAGGGCTTCACGCAAGTGTACGGCGCTGACTACGACGAGACATACGCGCCGTTGGGGAGCTACGTTACGCAGCAGATATTCCTCAGCATTATCGCCTTCCTCGACTTGCACCTAATGCAGCTTCACATGAAGAACGCCTTCCTGCAAAGCAAGTTCAATTGTGTGCTTTACATATACCAACCCGACTACTACGACGATGGGACCGGCTCGGTATGCAAGCTGCTGAAGAGCTTGTATGGGCTGAAGCATTCACTGCTATTGTGGTACCCGGCGTTCGATGCGGTGCTGGCCGGCACTGACAGGAAGAAAAACCAAGTTGACGAGGAGCTGTACTACAAGGTCAGTAATGACGGAGTGGCCTGCTGGGTGCTGGTCTATGTAGACGACCTGTTCGCCGCCAGCATCAGCACTGCGATGCTGAAGGAGTTGCTGAGGCAGCTTTCGAGCTGCGTGAGATCGGCCCAACAAGCGAGGAAGTTGTGGCTCCATCAGCAGACGTTGACAAGATCCGAAGGCGCTTTATCGACGAAGAGCAGATTCCGAAGACGTCGGTCTCTGTTGATGCCTACATTGAGATGACATTTGACGACGAGGACGCCCAGGCGCTTGAGGAGGAGGAAAACCGGCAGAAGGTCGGCTTGCTGCAGTTCACAGCGACAACAACGAGGCCGGAATTCACTTTCGCATGCAGCAAGCTAGGGTCCAGCTTGACGGTGCGGAGCGACAACCATAGGCGTGAGGTCGAATGCTTCCTGCAATACCTCTCCGACACCCGTGACGCCGCCCTGGAGTTCGGCGGCGGACCAAAGTCGCTGTATCTAGTCGGCTACGCGGACGCCGATGACGCTGGTGACAAGCTGAACCGCAGCAGCACGAACGGCTAAGTGTTCATCTTCGGCGGAGCCGCCGTCTCCTGGACGAGTGCATCCTGTCAGGTCACAATGACAATGACAATGACAGGTCCGCCATGGATTCCGCCTGATGGCTTTAAGAAGCTCGTTCGTGAAGGCCACGTGTCAATTGGTAATTTTGATAATAGTTTCGGAACCGCCTTAACATTACGAAGCTGTAGGTACACTTCTTGTGTCCAACTGACGGACATTGTGCCTTATGCTATAAGGGGTCCTGATTACTATTCAGCTACTAACTCCAAGGTATTGCGCCAAGCTCTTTGGCTGCTTAGCGTGTCAAGCTCCAGGAGTGACACCCGTCCTTTAACTCGTCAACAAGGTTCTCTACACAGATTTCACTATCGGGTTTCATTGGTCAGCAACATCCTACAAGATTATGGCAGTAAACTACATTCAAGGCAACTGTGCTCAAGAGGTTTCAAGTTCAAGGATTTAAAGGATCATGATGCTGGCTATGTTGTGCTCAGACAGTGGCTTTCACCTCAAGGAGGTTTTCAGACTCTGCTGTGTGATCATCGCACTATGTCCAGGATGATTGCCAGGAATGGTGGAGTCTGCCATAATGACGGGGCTGCTGGATTTCCCCTGGACAAGTCCAGCATTATCACAGCATCACTCGGTTGTGCTTACTGATGCCTCAGCATCGTCGGTTGTTAAGCGCACCGCTGACCTGTTCACAGAGGCGGAGATGGATGCTCTTCAGCCTGCTGCTCATGGCGCAAAGGAAGCGATTCGGGACATACTTGCTGCTGGTGCCGGTGACAAATCGCAGCAGTCGGAGAACGCTGACAAGACCAATGTCACCAGTGGAGTGGCTGGCGAGTCTCTGCAGAAGGGGAAAGAGGAGGCGGTTAACAAGTCTACTAAGCATGACGACGAAGAGGAACACGATGGTTACCTCAGCGATGACCCGGAGGAGCGGTACGATGCGCAGCAGGCGACGCTGCGCGCGCTTTTCAATCTGTGGAGGAAGGACCTGAACATGGAGATTGAGGCGACAACAAAATTTCAGGAGCTGACGGCGTTGTTTCTGAACAAGAAGCAGTATTGCTGGCTGCAGGTTACCTTTGAGCGGGCATGTGATGCCAACTTCATGTGGAAACACGAGATCGTGCATACCTACGTCGACGGGAAGCGCATTAACTTGGACTGGCAACACCCGGTGGATCCAGCTTACGTGAAGGCGCGTGCTGCAGACGCGCAGCTGGTTGAAGTTTTGTTTAAGGGGGTGGATGCGGTGATCACGCCAGAGATGCTGTGTGAGATGCTGGTGAAGGTGAAGCTGGAGAAGCGAGGACGTTCGGCTTTTAAGGAGGGTTGCTGCTTCCATTGGGTGGTGAATACAGTCATAGGGATGGACACAGACAAGATTAAAGGCCTGGTGAAGCAGCATGACGGTGACAAGTACCGTTGGCGTCACCTGATCGAGGACCCGACCTCCCATGATAAGCAGCTGCTGGTGCATTATCCTTCTTTGATCTGTGTCTACTGTTCGGGGTATCATATGACGAGGTACCATGATGACTATGTGTCGGAGCAGCAGAACAACATCAGCAACTAAAGTCTATCCATCGGACGGGTCCATGGGATCAATGGTAATGGGTGGGGGTTGGCTCTGAATTACCTGTTTTACTTTCGCTTGTTGCTTACACGGTGGAGTAGTGCTAACGTTGCTGCTTCCATTGGGTGGTGAATACAGTCATAGGGATGGACACAGACAAGATTAAAGGCCTGGTGAAGCAGCATGACGGTGACAAGTACCGTTGGCGTCACCTGATCGAGGACCCGACCTCCCATGATAAGCAGCTGCTGGTGCATTATCCTTCTTTGATCTGTGTCTACTGTTCGGGGTATCATATGACGAGGTACCATGATGACTATGTGTCGGAGCAGCAGAACAACATCAGCAACTGGAGTCTATCCATCGGACGGGTCCATGGGATCAATGGTAATGGGTGGGGGTTGGCTCTGAATTACCTGTTTTACTTTCGCTTGTTGCTTACACGGTGGAGTAGTGCTAACGTTGTGGGTGTGTCGACTCTGCGCAGCCGCCTCAGTCAGGATCACTGATCTGACCAGGCTCATTTTGAAGGAACCAGCTGTGGTGCTGACCCCATGGGGAACCGCGAGGAGTAAATCTGTGTCTAGAAGAGCTGCGAGAAAGTGAGCGGTGTTTCCTTTGCTCAGGCTGCGGAACATGTTGTCTCCCAGCGGCACAGCGACGGCTTGGTGTTTGGCTCTGCGTCGCGCAGTTCCAAGGTAGGCGTCAACCTGGTTGCGGCGAAAAAGGAGTTCGGCGTGTGATCCTGAGAGCGGTACATGTGGGAGAGGAGGATGCAGTAAGCAACCATACAGTGTAGGAAAAGTCGGGAGCTGTGGTTAAGAGCTGGAGTTGCTGTTGCATGTTGTATCTCAGGCAGTATAGCGACACCTCGATGTGCTGTAACACCGCCCTGTGGATGAATGGGGGCTTCAAAGGAGTTATCCAATGAGTAACACCAACTGACTAACGATACTGTCCCTAAATGCCAACGGTTTGGGGGGTCTGGGGAAGCAACAAACACTGAAGCGGTGGATAAGAACGAAGGCAGATGTGGTGATACTAGTAGACACACGTATTGCGGAAGATCACAATTTCTGGACGGTGCTCCATCCCCACAGTGTAGCAGCTGCAGGGGTCCTGACCAGAGCAGGCGGGCTACTTCATGCTCGGATGTGCAGTTGGGGTACAAGGCAGTTGAGGTTGCTTGCGGCCTATTTCCCCTCGCAGGCGGCTCCCCGGGGAAGCTTCCTTAGTCTTGGCTTTAAGGAGTTCGCCGCAGGTTTGCCAAGAGGGGAGCAGCTGGTGATGGCAGGGGACTTAAACATGATCGAGGACCCCATTCTGGACAAGTAAATGAGGTAGGGGGTGACCGGGGACACCATCAGGATGAAGAAGATGCTTGCTGACCTTCATATTATTCAGGGAGTTGAGGCAGGATGATAGGGAGTTTACCTTTTTTTGCAGGTCGGCGATGGTCAGCTCGACGATAGAGAGGATACTGGTGTCACATGCAATGGTGCATCAGGTGGCGAAGGTCTCTCACCAGTGGTTGCCGCAGGAGATCACAAACCATAAGTTCGGCGTCAGGTTGCGGTTGAGTTGGAGCGACCCGTAGGAGACTGGTCCGGGGACTTGGAGGTTTCCGGCGAGGCTGGCTAAGCGCCCAGGAGTGTCGGCAGCGATCGCGGAGGTGGTCTAGAGACATGAGGATGAAGGGAGCGGCGATTTCGATAAGTTGTCAAGGTGTTTGAGCACTCGTCTGCGAAAGTATGACATGGAAGAGAAAAAACGGGTCAGGCGGACGCGGAGAGCATTGGAGGAGCAAGTGGGGGTGTTGCATCAGAAGGCGATGGTGGATCCGGGTGACGACGGTTTACAAGCGGTACTTACGAGCCGGCAAGCGATGCTGAGGAGGTACTAGGACGGCCGGAAGAACTTCCTGGAGCTGAGAACAGGGCTTTAGGTTCAGCTGTGCGGGGAGACTCCAACGGGTTTTCTGTCTGTTTGCGCTTGTCAAGGGCAGAAAGGAGCTGGTTAAGGATGGTGTCAGTCATACTGACACGAAGGCGATCCTGGAGGCAGCAACACAACACTTTAAGAGTGCCTTTGATGAATCCTCTGGGTCAACGAGGGACGAACCGGAGTTGCAGTGGACACAGAGGAAGGTCCTGGAAGAGGCATCTTCAGAGTCACTGGAGTCAGATCGGACAGAGGAAGAAGTGTGGATGGCGATTAGAGAGTTGGCGAACGACAAGTTCCCGGGGAGGGATGGTCTGTCGAATGTTTTGCTTCACAGTCACTGGGAGGTGCTGAAAGGGCCGGTGATGAGGATGGTGAAAGAGTTCGTGGCTACTGGTAAACTGCCGGCGGTGGCGAACGAGGCAGTTACTGTTTTGCGGCACAAGAAGGGTGCGGAGACGGACATCAAGAATTATTGGCCGATAACGCTGCTGACAAGCATATACAAAATATTGGCGAAAGTGGTGGCGACAAGGATGAAGGCGGTGCTGCATCAGGTCATCTCAGAGGAGCTGTATGGTTTCTTACCCGGGAGGTGGCTAACTGATGTAGTATCGATGGTGGCAGACTTGATTGATGCAGCCAAGAATGAGGACAAGGATTGGTAACTCATGATGGTGGATTTTGAAAAGGCGTACGACTCGGTGCGAAGGGGGTACATGACGGAGACGATATCCCGGTTGGGCTTCCCGCCGCGGTTAGTGAGCTGGATAGAGGCCCTGCACAGTGATGTTTACACGCGGCTCTGTGTCAATGGGTGGACTGGTGAACAAATACAGATGTGGAAACGGGTGAGACAGGGGTGCCCTTTGGCGCGGTGGAGCCGTTGAGCAGGATGGCGGAAGAGAGGAAGCTGGGCATCGGGGAGAAGGGGTGCGAGAGGCTGTCGTACGTGGGGTACGCGGACGATACCACCTTGCTGCTAGAAGGGGAGCAACAATTGGAGGCGGACACGATGCTGCAGGAGTATGTAGTGGTGCCGGGGCTGAAAGTTAACATCGGGAAATCGGCGATTCTGCCACTGGGGAAGAACATCAACAAGCCATCGCTTGGTGGGGTTAGACTACAAGTGGGTCGGTAAAGAGGAAGCAGAAAGGTTGTTCAGCGTGTGGATAACACCGGACGGGAGTGCAGGATCTACTTGGGAAAAGGCTTTCGACAGGGCGGCAAGCGAACTAAGCAAGTGGCAGTCCAAATATCTCACGACGGGGGCGAGGGTGACCATCATCAACAGCTACGTGCTGCCGGTGTTTCTCTTCCAAGCGCAGGTGTATCCGCACGACGACCTGCTGTAGAAGCTGGTGGAGACCTTGCTGGAAAACTTCATTTCAGCTAATCATGCTGACACGGAGAAGCACTTCCGGCTCTGAAGTGGAGGTTTGATGTACGCGCCAAGAGAACAGGGTGGTCTGGGGGTGATAGACTGGAGAGGAAGGATCGACAGCGTCGCGTTGAGATGCGTGGGTTTGGTGCTGCAGCAGAAGTGCCCGCTCAAGCGGGGGTGACGGAATGCGCGGCAGGGCTGCCGCTCGGGTGGGCAACACTGTATGCACACACGGCGGTGCTCAAAGGAAGGATGATTAAGAGCAGGAGATGGGCAAAGTTATGCAAGGTGTTGCTGAAGTCGACGGCGGTGCAGATACCGGAGGCTGCTTCGCGATGGGAGGCGGAGGAGAAATACCTGTGCTTCAACACAAGGATTATACACAGGGGAAAGGCACCCTTTGGTGGAGAGAAACAAACAACCGAATGGCGGAAGTGGAAGATGCGTGATATGGTGGTCCGGAAGTGGGATGGTACTCGCACGGTAAAAACGGTAGGGCGCTTACCCGGGAGCTGGGATCAAGGCGTTTTATGCAGCACCTGAGCAGTGGAGGAAATGGCTACTGGCACCGTTAACAGCGGAAGAAATCGTCACGGTGTCCCCGTTCGTGCGCACCGTACTACCGAGCGGGAAAGTGTGCCTGTGGGAAGTCAGTGGGAGGGGAGGACGCTCTGAGTGGGACGTGAGCTTTGAGCTGCGGTGTGAGAGCGTGGTATCGGCGAGAATTCTCAAAGGTCAGGCTGCGGGCGCGGTGGGGGATCCTAGAGTACGGTTGCTGGGGTCCACATTCTTTGTGGATGAAGAGGATGTGCCGCTGAGGAAGCTCATGGGCCGAGCAAGGGGCTAGAAGCGGTTGAGGAAAAGAGAACGAGATGGGAAGCCCGGGCAGACTTGCCTGGTGACTCCGGTCAGAGCACGGGATGTCCTACTTCGGCCACATAACCTCAATCTGCAGGTCGGGGAGAGGGTCTACTTCCTGGGGGGAGGGGTTGTGTGCCCACATTGCGGAGAGGCGGAGACGTTGGACCACTGTCTGCTGGAGTGCTTGCACGTGGTTTGCGGTGGCAGCTGCTGTCAAATCAACGATCAGCATGATGCAACCAGCGAGACGCGTGGACAGTCTCGCGGATCTTCTGTTTGGGGCGGAACCGATGAAGTCCGGTTTCCCGGAGGCAACTCTTGTGGCAGTGGCAGTACACCAAGTTTTGCTAGGGAGGTGTGACGTGTCAATGGGCAGAATGCAGAAATTCTAGGTTCGGAAGGTGCTTCGGAGGATCAATGTCGAATTCAACAAACGCGTGCGAGTGTACTGCGGGAAGCCTAGCAAGCAGGCAAGGAAGGATAGGGCGAGGTGGAACTTAGCGGATGACGAGGCATGGGTTATGCAGAGAATCTGTGACAACGAGGCGCTGGGGCTGAGGTGGCAGGCGGGTTTTCAGTCCATCTGGTCGAGCCCGAGGACTTTCATCAGACCACCGTAGTTTCGTAGGGAGGGCTGGGTAATCACCTAGCTTGAGCCCTGATGATTCAGTTACGTCTGATGTTTTGCTTGTACATCCATTTGTATAAAGCTTTCACTAAAAAAAAAGAAAAAAAAAAAAAGTCTCCTGGACGAGTCAGTGCATCAAATGTAAGACGCTCTTGTCGATCGAGTTGGAGTACATCGCGGCCATGTCAAACTATCATGTTGTGTAGGCTGTAGTGCGGTAACCCATATGGGGTACAACCCAATTAGGGTTTGCTACTTGTACTCCTGCATGCTGTTAGTTTCACCATTCTCGTCCATTCTGCTGACATGGTTTCAGAGCAGGTCCTCTCCTAGGACCGTTTTTTTTTAGGGCCCACCGTATAGCTCGCTGCACGTATCGCGCTACCCCACCCGTCGCGCCGCCCTGCTGGCCTCGCACTGCCCTGCCCTGCCCGTCGCACCGCCCAGCTAGCGCCGCGCTGCCCTGCCCTGGCCTACGTCGCGCTGCCCGCGCGCGCCCTGTCCCGAGTCACATCGCCCGCGCGCGCCCTACCCTGCGTCATGCCGCCCGCGCACGCCCTGCCCTGCGTCGCGTCGCCTGCGCACGCCCTACCCTGCCCTGCCCGCACGCCGCTCGTTGCTGCGCCGCCCTGCCCTACCCACGTGCCGCTCGCCGCCGCGCCGCCCTGCCCTGCCCGCGCGCTGCTTATCGCCGCGCCGCCCTGCCCTGCCCGCGCGCCGCTCGCCGCCGCGCCGCCCTGCCCTTCCCGCGCGCCGCTCGC